GCGACAGAGGCAGATAATTCAGTCCGACTAATTCTCACTAACACTCATGTTGAGTTACAGAATTAGGACCTGGTGGGTGATGAACTGGTCCAACTAAATCACTATAGACATACTTGATACACTTCATAATTCATTCACACACATATACTTTGAAGCGTGAAAGACATATCATCAAAAGATAGCTATTTATACAGAACTGTTAAATTTAACATAAATAAAATATATATCCCAAAGTCTGTGCTAACTTCCAAAATTATGGAATGCAAAAGCTATATAAGTCACACCTTGCTACTCGCCCTTGTGCTCTTTATCCCTTCCTGTAGATTAACAATGTAGAGTGAGCAACGAGCTCAATAATTAATCAAGGTTAAAATAAAATTTTATAGACGGAAAATAAACAATTTGCATGCTCGCATATAACTGTACATATTTAGACATAAGTTACAACATGCTAAAATCATATAGAACATGTAAAAAAAAAATAGACAATGAAAAACATCATGATTGTTGTATAAAATATATAATTCATTCACTCATGTTCATAATAATCACCAATCTAATCATATCAATATCACTTGTAATTAAATTGGCTTCAACTATTTTATTGTCATGTCATATCATTAGGTCGTCACCTAGCTTGAAGGCTACATTAGCTATTGATAAAGGTTTCCCCCCAACTTAACCGCTATTAATACCCTCTCTGGTATCAACTGTTCCTTATGTTCCATCACCGTCTGAACTCGACGGTTTCCGATGTTTCATCTCCTTCTGAATACCAGAAGTCGAGCAGTTCTTGTGGCGTAAAAATGCAAACCAACGTGCGCTTCATTATGTGGCTTGGGAAAAGTTGTGCCAACTTTGGCTGATGTGAGTATCAGTTTCCATGCACCCAAAGCTTGGAGGGGCCCGTTACACGCAAGATTAGCCTGGAATTTCTTACAGAATAAAGAGTCTTTGTTGCATAAACTTTTAATTGAGAAATATGGTGATAATATTTGGAGATCTGAACACAACCGTAGCACCTCTATAACGTGGAAGGTTTTATGTGAGGGAGCTTCTTCCATTTTACTGGCAATTCGTTGGCAAGTAGCAAATGGGGAGAAGATCAATGTCTTGGAGCAGACTTGGGTCCACGATAAGCCTCTCTTGCGATGAACTTGTTCAATGGATATTTATGTTACCGAGGGGCTACAGGTTTTTAGATTTGTTAAAAATTACGATTGGGGTCTATGGGGTTTAGGATGAGCGAGCATAAGATCACCTAGCCTGGTGATGCCTCATGAAGCCCGGAGGATTTGGACCACAAGAACTACAACAAGACAAACCAAAGGAAGGCAAACTGAATGATGAAAGATGAGAAGGATTATATTTATACTATGTAGAATTTATGAGGCATTTAGTGTGGAAATGTCATCCAGTATCCTGCAGGTACCAATATTTTGTAAACTTCAAGAAGATTTGGTGGGGCTTATTAAGAAGCATTCCTGGAAAACAATTACGGCACTCACGTATGGAGTAAATTTCAATGTTCCAACATGGATCTCAGTTGGATCAAACAACTGTAATTACACCCTCGCGAGGAGACGTTTTGTTGGAGGATGTGCCATGATGCCATTCCTACACGGGCTTGGCTTGTTTGACACGGTCTTACTAATACGATCGAATGCCCATGGGGGTGCCCGACAGTGGAAGAATGTGAACACTTTTTTACTAACTGTGCTTTTTTTTGTAGGATTAATGAAACCATGGCTGAATGGGTATTACTATCCCGATTTCAACAACTTTCAGGAAGCTTTTCATGGTCTCAGCCGGACTCCGAAAAGAGGGCTTCCACAAGCCTGCTACTTTTGCTATATGGTGCATCACAATTGGCGTGCTCACAACACCAAAACCCACAATCGACCCAATGACACACCCATTGTTATTGCTACTATCATTCTGAAAGCACTTACCATGACGCCACTTTATCTATTCCGCGAGCAGTGGGATGCTAGCCATTGCTCCAGATTGGTTTCTTCCACTCTTTTCTGGCATTCCCTCTCCTGGTCAAGGTGAAAGTCGATGGTGCCCTCTTACCGTCCGAAATTGTCGATACCAGTTGTATTATTACAGATGAAAGAGGCATTTATCTTCTCACCACCGGACACCATTTCTTGCATTGGAATAGTGCAGATGCGGAGATCCAAACTATTTGTCAACTGGGGATGCTAGAGTTCAAGGGGTTATTATCGAGGGAGATAATATCAATATTATGCATTTCTTACAAGCCACTGTGAAGCGAGACATTTGGCGTCAACAATCACATATTACGTCGGATTTTGCTTTTCTTTTAAACTTTTGACGTTTGTTTTTCCATACACTGCGGGAATGTAATAGGGCCGAGCCGCTCATTTTTTTGTGCAAAGCGTGCCTTTAGCGGTTCTTTTTTTTTGAATGTAGATGAAGATTAGGAACTCACTACCATAATTGTAGACGATGTCTCTTTTTTTGTACATCATCAATGTATAATGCATAGTTTTTGTACTTTTTTGATATATTAATGCAAATAAATATTCTCACAAATAACATGAGTTGGGAATTTCACCGTTTTCTATCATTAGTATTTATAAGTATTCATGTAATAACTTACCTATAACATCACATGTGATATTTCTTAAAGCATAACTCCTGTAACAAGTATTTATCATAGGCATTTCATATATCATATTCATAAATCATAGGAAATGAATATCTCCAATCAATGATTTCATAAGCACGTTCATTAGATTTATGAAATAGTAAAATCACATGTATTGTAAGAGCATTTAATTTGCATTCATATAGTCAATGCATCTATTCATTCATAATATGTATAAAATTCTACATGCAACAATTTCAAACATGGAATTGCATGAAAACCTACAGAGAATTATTTTTTTAAGTTAGCATAAGATTATTTCATATGAATTGATGGAATAATCATGCGATGAGTTTTCCCAAACTCTTTTCGAGTTGTCAATTAGTGTAAACAATTAGAATGATGACTTTGAGTTGTTCCAAGTCTGAAACCAAGTGGATTTATACTTCAGCTTTTATTATTTCTAGTATTTTTCCATCTATTTTTTTTAAATAGGAATCTAAATCTTATATTTTTCTTTTAAAAAAATCTTTATATGACAAGTGGTTTTTTTTATCAGATAACTACGTCATCGAGCTCAGGGTTTTAACTTTTTCATAATAGTACCTCTATTGACTTCAGCTTTACTAATAAATAAGTCAACTTCATTCAAACCCATATTATGACTAGCATTTGCTGCTGCAGAATAAACTAATTTTAAGATTGGATAAGATGCCCTATAAGGCATTAGTTCTTCTAGTATCATGAGTGCTTCCTCATAAGAACGTCCACGAATCTGATCAATTACTCTTCATGCTTTGAAAATAGACATACATATATTTTGAGCTAAAACTTTTGTTTCTCTATTTTCATTCTTCATCATAAAAGTTTTCCCCTGCCAATGAATGAAATAAATGATAAGTGCCGAGGTGAAGTATGGTATAAGATAAGTCAGAAAAGTCTAAGTCTTATTAGTATGCTCTAAAAAGAAAATAAATATACTTATACTCTTACTATAAGATAAAAGATAAAGACTCTTAAGTCTAAATACTATTAAACTAAAATATAACTTATTTACGAAATCTTATAAACAAACGAGTTTTTCAACATAACTAACTCTTCTCCGAGACTGCCTATTCTTCTTCCTTCTTCCTTCTTCCTCCTATCACTTTAATACTTTCTTTAATTCACTGAATTCATGCTAAAAGCCCTTACAAAAGCCCACAAATCAATTTCGTCTCTTCCGACATTAGTTTTCCTGTGCTACAGTTACCAAAAAAAAAAGTGCACCAATTTGTGGCATATGTCAAAATGAAAACTTGAGTAAAAAAATAAATGTCTGGAATAAAACAAAAATATGATTCTCTTTTACTGATTTCACCCCGAAGCCCAGAATCGCAGCTTGTGGTTACTTGCGGGTCGCGCATGTGCTATAGTGCCGCAATCGAGGACCCTTCAGCTGAGCAAAAGAAAGTGAGGGAGAGGGAAAATGAATGCGGCATATAACTTAGATTCCTTTAATCTCAGCTGTACAGCTGGATCCAGCCATTGCATGCCGGGCTACGAGATTGTTTCAGTGTTACTGTGAGTTTAGGAAGACTATATTAGTTTAATTAAAATGTTATTTAAGTAACTATTTCAAAATTTCATATCTTGTCATATACTTATAATTCATGCATAATGTTATATATATCAAATTGATTGATTTGACATGTAGAATTTTATAAAATTACTTTGATTGAATTTTTAGAGATGAAAATTTTGAGTTACATTTTAAAGTCGTCAAAATTTTACCCGGCTTCTCAAAATTTTGGTATTCGCTACTCTTTCAGGATACTCCTGATGACTTCCTGATGACAATTATATGCTTTTCTAAGAGGAGCTTGGAGCAATTTGTGATTAGATGCAAAGCATGCACTCTATCCTCTTAAATGGATTTTATGTTTTGCCTCGCATTTTGGGCCAACTTATCAATGCCTAACTTCTAAAACAGCTTCACTTTACTCTAACAACACTAAATAATGCTTCAGTTAAAGTAGTATATTAGTAATTTATTTTGAATGGTACATTAGAACTTAAAATTTGTTTTTGAGGGTTTCCGTTAAGAACCACTAGTTTGGACGGGGCATGGTCAAGCATGAAAAATTCAGAGGCTAGTTCCAATTTTCATACATTTTTCATTTGAGTTTGGGTGATAGAAAGGAATCACTTTCTCTTAGAGGTTGGCCTTGGCGCCACATGAGAAACCAATATAGAAATATTTTAGATATTTGACATGAATGGTGTAGCTGATATGGACAGAACTAACATGTCTGAAAATAAATTATTTCTTCATTCTAATTAGGGTTTGTTATATTTGGATTAATGTGGTTCAAGGAGCATTTATTTACTGTCATATGTTCAGCAATTAGCGAGGCGGAAATTGCTTTCTCATCCTACAAGTCCTTGTGCAACAATATTTCTCGTCAGCTAATTTGGGCAGTTGCAGAAAATTACCGCTTTGAGCCAGCTTTTGTCGAGGTAACTGCCTGATGCTGTTAATCAAGTGCCTCACAGGCCATTTAAAAAGTACTACTATTTAGAAATTCATTCTACAGTGCAGAAGACTAGTAAATGATATTGGTGAAATGATGAACATCCATGTAATAGTTGAGGGCTCTATGAACAGTTCGAATCCCTATTTTTCAAGCTCTTGGCGTCGCAATTTTACTGTAAGTGTCGTGAAACTTGGTTATTCTTATGGTTCCATACATTTGCTTTACAGATTATTTCCATATATTTGCAATGATTCCATGCAATATTGACATTTCATAAGTTCAATCTTATGCTCATAGTTTTAGTGCTTGCTCCTGCTATTATATCTTATGCTCATAGTTCAAGTACAAATAAAGTTCAAACATTGAAAAATATAAACAAGTCAAGCTTGAACAATATATGAAAGCTTGACACAAGCTCAAGCCGAACATGAACAACTTATAATTATACCAAACCAAGTCCGAACTATGGTATGCTCGACTCGATTACAACCCTAAATGTGAGGTTTTTTGCATTGATCGATGTTGGCTTGGCGAGAGAAATGTGGTGTTGGGCTCATTCGTCAGCGGGAAAGTTTACTGGCAGGAGGAGGTTTGCGGGTTTGAAATGAACTGAGAGGGAGGCAAATGCCGACAAGGGGAGTGGTAGAACATTAGTTGTTGCTGAAACGGGAGAGATAAAAGACGGGATGGGGGTATTTGCTTTTTTGAGAAAATGTGAGGGGAAGGAGATGGCTGACGCGTAAGGGAAGGAGCTGGTTCCTGGTCATTTGGATAGTATGAGAAGTTTTAGCAGATGGAGAAGCTAGACTCAGCTGTGGGAAGGAGTGTGTGTGGGTTTTTGAGAAAACAAAGAGGGAGAAATTTCTGCGGGAGAGATTTGCTTGAGGATTAGGGGGAATGGTTTTTCATTTTATTTATTTATTTTTTTTGTTTTGGCAAAAAAGATAGTGGGAGGCTAGGGGTCATGTGGGAAGTTGCATTTTTGTTAGGGAGAGCATGGATTTGCAGAATGATTTTTTTTTTAATTTTGACTTCACTTTTTTATTATTTATTACTATCAAAGTTTTGATTCCACTTACTAATATGTCATTTATTATTATCAAAATCCTTTACATATTTGTTAAAGCATGAGTTGAAGCAAATGTATAAAACCATACTTATATATGAATAATTTTTTTTTAATGTCATATATTTATTAAATATTTTATATATTAATCTCATTTTGATTCAAAATCATAATAGTAATTGAAAAATTAATATATATATATATATAAGAAAAATGAAAATAGCCTCAACTCTCAAGTATGGATGGTTGCTCCGCTAGAGTTTCGCCAGATGGTGATTCCTTGTTTTGGTCTTTGGCTTTCCGGAAGTTCCGTACACGACGACGAATTCTGCATTCATTTTTCGCGATCGTCGACAACGAGGTACAAATTTTCGCGATCCCTCATCGCGGACTCGTCGAGCTGCAAGTTCCGTGGCTCGTCTTTCTGCGTCGGCGCCCAGTTTCGACGCTGCGCCTTTGCTTTCCGCGTACGACGGTTCTTTCCGTCATTTTGACCCTTCTTCTGTTCGTGTCTGCTCCAGTGCTTCTCTCCGGCCCAACAACAATTCTTCTGGTTTGCTTCTACGCCCGTCTTTCTCTCCAGCCTGATGCAAGCTTCTCGCTGCAGGTGACAGAAGCCACATCCCCTTGCTCTGATGGCACTTCCTTATTCTTTGGTAGAACTAGCAAAGGCCTCCTTTGCCCACGTGATGGGAAACTCTCAGGTGGAGTCCGCAATGGTATTCCCCTCAAGCTATAAAGAATGTCGCGATGGTATGGATGATTGTCCTTTTGTTAAGAAGAGAAGTAGGAAAGACGGAAAAACAATAATTTTTTTCTCTGACTCAAAAATTTCTACACTGACAGAAAAATTCAAGTTTTCTCTTATTGGAAAATTTTAGTGGGGACACCCACTTATAGATGTTATCAGAAAGTAGATGATCTTAAGTCAGTAGGCACGTGTAAAGTGGGACTTATGGATGAGAGACATGTGTTGATCCAACTAACAATGACTGAAGACTACACCAGAATTTTCTCCAAGAAATATCTTAATATCACAGGAAAATCTATGAAGTTACTTAAGTATTCTCCTGAAACTCCCAATGTACTGGTATGGTTTAGTTTACCTGGTCTCAAGCTACATTTTTTTCACCATCAGGTTCTCTACTCTATTGGGGTCATCCTAGGGGATCCTTTGAAACTAGATCTGCCTACTTTCAACCTAACAAGATCCTCGGTGGTCAGAATATTTGTGGAAAGGGATATTACTGAAGTCTGGCTGGACACAACCCACAATGGATATTGACAACAAATCGTCATGGAACACAGACCCCCATATTGTACCCACTGTAAGATGTTTGGTCATATCCTTGATAAATGCCTCAAGCTTCTGCTCTGGACATTTTAGTTCCACCTGGGGATAATACTACCAGACAGGAGGTGTCTGTTGCCCCTAAGGACCCTCCCACTTGTTACTGCGAGTGATGTGATGTTGACACCTTCAAACCCAATAGAAAACAATACTGATGGACTATTACCTACAAATGATAGTGTTCGGACTGATAATTAGGAGAGCCTCGCAACTCCATTTCTTCAGGAAGTATCCAGTGTAGAGACAACTCATACTTCACATATACTAGAACCTGTGGGTACTACGGTTGGTATTCCTTCTGCTTCAACTCTACCATCCCATCATACTGATTCTTCGGAAGAGGAATGACAGGTCTATTACAGGAGGAAGAAAAAAAATGGAGGCCGACTCCAGCTTGGGAACATATTGGATGTACATTGGTTACTTCTGGCAATGACAAACATTTACTAGCTTATTAGCTTGCTCCTTCCCTAGAACTAGAGGCAGAGGCAAGCCAAATTGGGTCGCTCTCTAGCCACTTGATACTATGTATTTAGGTACTGTTAGGCTTTTTTTTTTAGTATCTAATGTATTTTTTTGTTTTTTCTAGTTTT